GCCTTATTTATGTGGACATCTAGAGGTGATGCAGATATGTAATATTTGCAGTGATTTATTGGTGCATAAAAATAAGGGTGGAATTATTTGAATTTTTTATATATATAAATCTTTTGCAGAAGGATAGTAGTCTGCAATCTGCATGCCTATTATGGTGCATGTTTGCAGCTGGCCACCATATATTTTTGTAACTTCTCCTTATGTGATATCCACATGACACGGATGCGATAGAATTTAGAGGGGCATTTTATTGTAGAATGTGATGTTATTTCAATGCCTTCTTTAGTATTTGAGTGCAAGGGGTTGGCTCTTCATTGTTTTTGATTAATTGACAAGCTTAGGGGAATTATATGCTTTGCAGAGGGAAAAATATCGATGAAGTAAAATAAGAACGGAGAAGGTATTTCCAATACTAATTAACTTGTCAGCCCTGATGAGTATATTACTTGAAAAATTAAAAGATATAGCGAAAGATTTCCTTCATCTTGTTGTTTTAAAAAAGAAGCACCAATGTTTACCAAACACATTTCATTATTTTTCTCTTCCCTTTTTGGATGTTGCTAATGTTTTAGTGGCTTTTTGGGTCAGATTTCCTTCTGCCTTTGCCTTTCAAATTAAACATCATATTTATTAAAAAAAAATTGTGATTGTGGTGTGGGTTCTTTAATTATCTAGATTCTTCGTGTGCAGGTTAATTGTGATTGTGGTGTGGGTTGGATTTCGACTTTAATTGTGATCAGGTTAAAACACAGGAGCAGAGCGAGGAATTATCCACAGAGACGTTAAGACAACAAACATATTGTTAGATGAGAATTTCGTGGCGAAAATGGCTGATTTTGGGTTGTCAAAACTGGTCCTGCCTTGGAGCATACCCATGTTAGTACTGCAGTGAAGGCAGCTTCGGATATCTTGATCCAGAATATTTCAGGCGACAGTAATTGACTGAGAAATCCAATGTTTACTCTTTTGGAGTAGTTTTGTTTGAAGCTGTGTGTGCTCGAGCTGTTTTAAATCCTAGTTTGCCAAAAGATCAGATCAATCTTGCAGAATGGGCAATTCGGTGGCAACGGCAGAGATCACTCCAAACCATCATTGACGGGAAATATTGTCCAGAATCTTTAATGATATTTGGAGAGATTGCAGAGAAGTGTCTTGCTGATGAGGGGAAGAACCGGCCTACGATGGGAGAAGTTCTGTGGCATTTGGAGTATTGCAAGTTCATGAAGCTTGGATGCATGCCAATGCCAGCGAAAATTCGTTTTCCAGTAGTCTGGTTGCGGGGAATGTTGAAGAGAGAGAAGCTGAATGTGGCCAGCACAGTGCTCTACTTTAGATGAAGATAGCAATTTGGACTTGAAAATAACGGAAGAGAAAGAAGGTGCATTAATGGGAACTGATGGATCAGATGTTGTGGTTGGAGTTGATGAATTTTCGCGGCTAGTTAATCCACAGGGAAGGTGAAAACTAGAGATGTGATCAGCAATCATGTTGTTACTGATCTAAATTGTTTAATTCTTTTTTTGCTACTCAAATCCATTTAAATTTGAGGCTTACACGCATATTATCAATGTTTGCCAATTAGAGAGGGGAGCAGCATGTAGAAATGATGTGATGTCTCAATTATTATATGCATATAAGTTTTGTATCCATTTGATTTTTGGTTTCATTTGTTGTTGGGATTTTTCTCAAGGGCTCATGTTCTTTTGTATGTGCAATATGTCTCCATGTTATATTATATCCCCTTCACTTTTTAATTTAGTACTTATATTCTGTAATTACTCCAATGCGAGCTCTCCTCACACCATAGGAGAGGCTAAACGAATTTTGTTAAGACAATATTGTGGATGTGTGTCTTTATTTGAACTTTCGAAAAAAATATTGTATATATCTTATCATGTGTGCCACTAAGATATGAGAGTATTATCTAAAAAAATTCATTTTATTTTTTTTTTGTAATTAATTTTGGCTTTAAATTTAACTTTCATTTCATATATCAAAAGCACTATAAAAGATTTTGGGTAAATTACGGACTCTTTCAATTTTTTATTTTTTTGAGCAGTCCAATCCCTAATTTGATTATTAGGTGATAATTCAAATTTATTCTGCAAAGGCCAGAAGCAGTACAATGTCTTTTATTATTATTATTATTTTGGTACTTGGAATTTCCCCTTCCAAAAATATATATATATATATCTTATTCTATGTGCCATTAAGACATGAGAGATATATCTAAATTGTTATCCTTTTATTTTTTTGCAATTAATCTTGGCTTTAATTAGACTTTCATTTCATATATCAAAAGCACCTATAAAAGATTTTGGGTAAATTAGGAGATAATTCCAATTATTTTACAAAAGCCACAATGTCGTTATACATATATATATATTATACATATAATATTGGTAAGTCATACATCTATGTTGTTTTATTAAACACTTGGGCATTATTAAGATTTAAGGTGAACTTCAAAAAATGAGAAAAAAATTTTAAGTGACATTTAATTTTTTATATGAGAAATTCAAGATCTCACTAGCCCTGACGCCCCTAGGGCCCAGCCAACGTAGTAACTTCTTTTCCCGCTTCTCCCCAAATTTTCCCCAAATTTTAAATAAATTCTAATCGGCGGATTTCAGAGAGCGTAGAGCGAAAGCGAAATTTAGAGAAGAGAGAGAGAAGAGCGAACCAGGAGAAGACGCCGTTTCTGTAGATATGACTCGGAGCATCGGAAACAAGGTTCGTTATCTAGCTTGAATTTACGTATATATTGATTATGATAATGATAATCTTGATAATGATTTCAATCTTGACAAGAATTATAATAATCTGTGATTATCTTTAATCTGGAATTAGGTTAACAATGCCGATATGACTCGGAGCATCGGAAACAAGGTTCGGAGCATCGGAAACAAGGTTCGTAATCTAGCTTGAATTTACGTATATATTGATTATGATAATGATAATCTAAATTATCTAGATAGTTCTTGATAACTATTGTGATTATTTTTAATATGGAAATAGATTACGAAGGCGCTTGGAATTTTTAAGGCCACTGAAGTTTCTGGAGAGGCTAAGGAGAGATCTCCTGCCAAATTGTTCAACCGCAATGCCGATAAGGTATATAAGTTTGTTATCTTAATGATGAAAATTAACAAAAACTGTCACTATATTATTCTGGTTCAGGCAAAGAGCAAGTTCTCGGTCCGCCGGCTGTTCGGTCTCACTAGAATTGCGGGAAATGAGGTATTTCTTTTATCCTTCTGGTGATTAATGTCCTGTATTTTTATTTTTTTTATTTTTTTATTTTTTGAGTTTCATTTCGTTAATCCTACAACATTTGTTGGAAAATTTGTGTATATCATATTAAAATGATTAAGTAAATAGGAATGTTTAAAACACATGCTTTTATGTTTCCATTGTTTAGTCTGAGTGTTCTAGTCTAGCTGGTTCCAGTCTTGCATGTCCCTTAGTTCCATGTTTTCTGAAAGTACTGCAGCAAACTAATTGCCCAATACTTTTGAATCTTGTCAACAAGATCTCAGACCTGCTGTATTGTAAACCTAATAACACTAGTTCTAGTTAGAATGTCATGGTGCAACGCAGTGGAAATACATGGTCTTGTTTTAATCTAGCTTGCTTACTGTTCTGTTATTGTATTTAAATTCTCAAAGCAAGGTGCAAAATAGTAGCAGTATTTTTTTGTTTTTGGTTTGGAATATTTAGTGCTTATGTGGCCGAGAAATAGTAAACGAGAATGTTAATTGGAACCAACTTTACCTTTTTGAATCCACTTCAGAAAATTTCTATCCTCAAATTTTTCTCTAGATATTGAGTCTTCATATTATAGAACTAAAATATGTGTAACATTATTATGTTCATCTAATAAATTTGAAATGATTTCAATGTCTTTCTTGATATATATTTGATTTGCATTAACTTGCTTTAGGTTTATCATTTATTTAGGGATCACCGCAGTAATATTATTAAAAATAAAATTATTCATGTGCTCATAATTAGGAATTTTTATCAATTTATCGCGCTGCATTAGTTTGATCTTTGGAATTGGTTGTTACGAGAATCTTCATATATTTTGTTCACTTTACATGATAAATAGATTATAGAATCTGTATAGATTATAGAATCTGTAATTTGTTAATCTATAATGAACTTGCTGTTCAATAAATTTCTTACATTTGAAGAGAAATGTATGAAAATTTTGAAATTTGACTTCACATGCATAACCTTTTGCATTTATATCTTCCTTGGATTTAAATGAATAAGTGTTATGTTTTAGGCACGAACTAGTTTATAGCAAGTACCATTAATATTTGCCTCTCATTTCCAAAACTGTGTGTGATGGGCATTTTTTTGCTTTTCTTAAATGGCATGTTGGACCTTTTGGTTCGCTGCTGCAGTTCTATAATCTATATGAGACATCTTGAATCTCCATTTGTGTAAAATATATAGTGTGCAATTATTGTGACGTGTAGTTTATTAAGGTATATATAAAAACTGAATTGAATCTTTCAAATGTTTATATATTGAATTATGTTATCCTTTCTTGTGATTAATGTCCTCTTTTTACCATTGGCATTCCTGTATATTTTTTTTTACTGCATTATGTGATTTGGAAAACTGAAACAAAGTGTTATTCTGTTTTTGTTCCAAGTCCAAGACATTTCTTGTTGTTTACCTTTATCAACTTTTCAATTAAGTTGGAAGTAGCTTTTTATTTTAAGATGACAAAGTAAAAAAATATATGCTTTTATGTTTCCATTGTTTAGTCTGAGCTTTCATGGTTGTTCTAGTCTAGCCTTGCATGTCCCTCAGTTCCATGTTTTCTAAAACGACTGCAGCAGACAAATTGTCCAATACTTTTGAATCTTGCCAACAAGATCTCAGACCTAATATAGATTCATGATTGTTTTTGTTTTAGTTTAGTTGGTTCTTCCTTACTGTTCTGTATCTTTTAAATATCTTCATTGGTTTAAAGTGGTGTTTTGTCAAGTCCCATTAATAAATTGCCTCTTATTTCCGAAACTGTGTGTGTGAGAGGGCACTTTTTTGCTTTTCTTAAATGGCATGTTGCACCTTTTGAATTGTTCTGCAGTTCTATAATTTAGATGAGACATCTTTACTCTCTTTGTGTCAAAATATGTAGGGTGCAGTTCTATAATTTAGGTGAGATGTTTGTGTCAAAGTATAGGGTGCTGACATTGTATGTCCAAGCATAGTAGTATAAGATATCAAATGAAGTGAATTTCTCTGATTTCATTGAATTTGCAAATTAGAGCTTCTTCCCAATTTTTATTTTTTTATTTTTTTTTTATACAATAAAAGACTGTAACAGTATTTCCTGAATGAGCACATTTATGCTGCAGGCTTCTCGTGAAGGAGCACCACATCGGATGACATTCACCAGGGTAAGTTTCCTAGTTTTGAAAAATACCACTTCCTTCTCTTCTTAGTCCTTTTGCTGTTGATGACATTTTATAATCTGCAGGGTCTTGCTTACAAGAATCCTCCGACATTCCATTGTATTGCCTGTTCTTTGAGGAAGCAGTCAAAAGATTCATCCTTCTACACTAGCCTGAAACTTAAGCAGCATTGTATCGAAAAGGCAGGGCATGAGAAGGACAACAACTCTCGTCCAGTCCATCACGCAGATTGCTTTTGCGAGCATTGTGGCAATGGCTTCAAGAATGAAGATGAGAAGGATGCTCATGTAGCTGTCTGCGACAAGGCTCCATGAGGTAGAAGTTGAATTTTGTACAAGCAACTTGACGAAATTCTGGTACAAGTGAGTACAAAATAAAACAAACTTGTGTAAGTGTTGGTATAAGTAAACTGTTAATAGGCAAGTGAATCGGAACTCAGAACAAACTACAACAGGTAAAATCACTGAATTGTTACAGAATTGCATTTTCTTTTTTCTGTCTAATAGAAATCTGGAGTTATCTCCCTGAAATCCTGCAATCTGTTTCTCCACATCACTACAAAAATATGCACATGAACACTCTCACAAATATCCATATTGAATGATTTAAACTTTTGGCTTAGATTCTCAATCTGGTCTAGTGGATAATATGTTTGACTATCATCAGAACACTTGCTTGGACTATGGAAAGAATATAATGATTGAGATAGGTGGTTAACCCGTGTACTTTCTGGAAAATCAGAATTTCCAACTAAAAACTTTTTTTCATCTTCTTCAACCATATCTGCTCAACTCTTCTTACTTCTACACACACACAATTCCTGGGGTTGTTCCAGATTTCCCATAGTAGGCTGGCTTAGGCTCTGGAGTTGAACTGTTTCTCTCAACCCCACACAGTGTGCAAAAGTAATTTTGGAACTCTGATCCCAATCTCCATCAGACGAAGCTTCCGTTGCTCTCATCTAATTAACATCAACTGCTGATTCCGTAGGCAAATTACTCTCTTTCGTTGCCAATTTCTTTTGCCCACCAGTTTGTCTCCAATAACAGTGGGCCGTAGAACAGATTCATTGTTCACTTCAGCACAAGTTCCCCATACCCACTTTCTCCAATCTTCACTAGTAGATGCTTGAGAACATTTTAAATTCTGCAATACTGCTTTCAACAGTCCATTCGTGGAACCTGGTAATGGTCCATGAAGATTTTGGTTGGCCAGTAATTGCATATTTTCAGTGGTTGTAGATTGCTCAAATGATAATTTTTATTTCAGCCACCAACTGGATCATCTCCCATCAATGCCATTCTCTGACGTCCATTATTGAATAACCATGAACATCTAGGTTGTGTAAATTGAAATTAGGAATTTCCTTAGCGGCAAGTGGAGAAGCAAACACATTCTTGCCAGTAGAACCTACTTCCCTTCCATCCATATTAATCTTGTTGTCCTTACTTCTGCTGCCAAAATCAGCTGTCCTTCTTTCATATTGGTTTCCAGTGTGACATCCTTTCAATTTATCTGCAAACGAAGTCTTTGGAGAAGACTGTGAACCATTTATTGATCCATATGGTGCAATTTTTGAAGTTCCATTGTCAGAACAAATAAAGGATGTGGGAAGACTTTGAATTTCCTTATGGCTCTCTCCTTCCCTAGCAATGGGCTTCACACTGGAGTGTGATTCTAATTCAGTGAATATCCAAATAGCACGCTCATATGATTTAGCATATGAGTCATCCATTCATCCATCTTCAGATGAAGCTTTTATGGTTTGAAGCAAAAATTTAGCTTCTGTCATCCTGTTCATGTGCATCAAGCAGATTGCGAGATTGCACTCCTTGTTCTTATCCGTCTCAAGAGAAGGTGCTTTTCTGCATCAAAATATTTTCTATGAGAAAGTGCCCTTCTTTTGACAAACTTGATGCTACATATGTATGTAAACTTCTTAGAACATAATGCTTAAAGAATATACCTATAAATTTCCCAATAACCTGCATTCGGAGAAGGCTGTAGTAACTCAGAAAACTTCAAAAAGAACAAGAAATAAACATTCATAAAAAGATAATTCAATGCAGGGTTCACCTTGAGTACTCCTGCTCAATTGTGACATGATCTTCTTCCCTTGAGACCACCTAGCTGTCTTTGTCCCCTTCCCACCAAAGCTATACCTCCTAAAATGTGTTTTAGTTTGAGTTGAAGCATTCCAATATGTTCTTCAATTCTAAATCTCTACAAAAACATTGCATGTGGGACACACAAACATGTCCTTCAATAACAGGAGAATATTCATTATATTGGAAAAATTGAAAATCTATGGTCCATAGTCTTTATCAGAGAATAAAGGGAAATTCAGAAAAGATAAACAATAAATATTTTAGCTAACAAAGCTTATATCCAAGGAGAAAAATAACTGATTCACTCACATATCCGCATAAATACACAAAATAAAATTCTTATATCCAGACTTGTTGCTAATCTATATACTAAATAATCAATATAGTAATTTGTATAGAACGGAAAACAAAATGCATATATGGGTTTTCAAAAGAAATGTTGCTTTGCCTTGTAGAGAAAAATTACTAAATTCATACATACAAATATCTAGTAATTTGCAGGAAATGGAAAACAAAGTACATTTGTGGGTTTTCAGTAGGACTATTGTTCACCTTGTAATGTTCAACAAGAACGTTGTCAAGAGATTCATGGGAGGCATAGATTTTATTGCCTCATCGGCTCAATTCAATTGTTTCATCACGAATGCCATGTCTTTCAAGGCACTATCAACTCTATCCCCAAAATTTATACCAGCCCAGAAGAAGGAAATAGCCCTACTTTGATCCTTTTTTATCAACTGTTATTTAAAAATTTAAGACTCGAAACCATGCACGTAAACATGAAGAAATAGAGGAATAATCAGTCCGTCATGTTTTGGCTGAAGAATAGGTAAATCTTCCATAAAAAAATTTGGAGTAATTTAATCCTTTAACACAAAGGTTCTATAACTATTCTCGAAAATGTAATAGTACACAACCCAAAAGTATAAACAAAAGTGGAGAACGATTAATTCACTCATATTTGAGCAAAAATATCTAAATGGTTAAACCAACAGTAAAATGGAAGATTCAACTCTCTTAAAATACAATTGAAGAAAATTAGAAAGTTCTTCCTTTACCAGAAAACTATAGAAGTGTTGAAGAACAACTCCTTTCAACTGCAATAAAGAAGTGTTGAAGAACAACTCCTCTTAAACAAGTACAACAATGCAAAAAAATGATGAATTCAATCAATCATTAACAATAAAGTGTAAAGGGTCAACCTATATGGACTAAAAATCAGCAAACTTTGATAGAATATTCAAGGTGTTTTACATATATTTCCAATTCAAAGGCTCAAAAAAACATAAATTTTCAGGAAATTAATTTTGTACAAGAATAGGTAGAAGTAGACTTTACCCAACAAATTTTGAGCATAAGAAATCATAGATGAAAAACATTCAACCATCTATAGAACAAGAGAACAAAAGAAACTGAAATTCTTGGAAAACACAAAGACCTCATTGTTACTTACATGAGATTCCCAAACCGACCTAAAAAAACCAATAACAACCCATTAATGTAACTCGAATTACAGACCTGAATATTCTATTACCTGAGCATGTTTGGCCCGGACGTACGGACAATCGCCCGGCGGGCACCTTTTGAATGGCATGAAAAAGATTAGCTTTGGCCCGAGGCTTTTTCTCCTACGCCGGCATCATCGGCGACGTCCGCTTCCACTTCCACTTCCACGTCGGAGGTGGCATTGAGAAGCCCCTCGACGGAAAATTCTTGTCGGCCGTCCACATTTTGACTCTTTCCGATAACGATTTGATGATGACAAGTTTGAGATATGGGTGTGGGCACCAAGGAGCACCGCAATTTTGTGGAAGGACCCTAGCCCAAGTTGTGTCCAACCCAAATTGTTTAAGAATATTCTAAAACCCGAACATGTGCATGGGCGGTTAAATTTGTCGGATTGGATAAGGCATGGTAGTTCAAGTTGGTGGTTCACCGAAGTAGTTAGAGTCGATTAAACGGTTAAAACATGTGACAGTTAAAAGCCGAAGGAGTCGGTTAGGCTATTTGGGCAGATTCGCCAAACTGGTGTGTCGGATAACGGTCGGGGTTAATCAAAACAGACACCATTTTGCCTATAAAAATGCCTTTGCATCAATCATTTGGTTTTTGGCACTTCCGAATTCAACCTTTCTTTCTTCCTTCCTTCCATAGACTTTGAGTCCAAGTATGAGGGCTCATTTTTTAATCCGAGTCGGGTCAAAGATAGTTGAGTTTGGTTGGCTGATTCCTTTAAGTTTGAAGTCGGGTTGTATTATGGAAGGCAATGGACAAAATTTATTTTAAGGGCATAAAATTCTATTATAGTCTCAATCTACAAATATGTTATTTTATTGTTCTAGCTCTGATGTACTGACAATTATCGAGTTTACAAGTATATATTTTTCCTATCTTGACATGATTTCATTTTTTTTAGCTTGATGCCTACTGCAGTATGCTTGATGAGAGAGGATAAAATGCAAACATGTAAAGCATGTAGACATCTTTGCTTGCCTATTCAGAGATTGCCAATTTTGGTGAGGAGATGTCGTCGTCGGGATTGGATAGTGAAGAAACAATGCCATCATCATAGCCGCCGGCAAGGATGAGAAATACGGTTGGGGAATCCATTTGGCACTGCCGTTGATCAAACTGAGGAGTAGTTTCCAGAAAAGAGCCGAGCCGAGCCGATGATTTCTTCACGTGACTGGTATTTGTCATTTAGCAGAAATACGGAGGGGTCCTGCACAAGCTTATCTCATACACCAGACACCATGACCTCGATACCACCTCTCACTTAAACTCTCTCTCTCTATCTCTCTCAATTTTATTTCAATTTTTGCAAAAATCCCAAGAACCCATTAGAATTCACCTCTCATTTTCTTGATTTCTTTCGTTTTTTTTTTTTTTTTTTTTCCAGGAAGAAGTGGAAGAGACTTGCATTATTGTTAAGCGTGTTCGAAGTAGCCTGGTAAGATATGTATTATTTAGTTTGTATATTAACTATTAATGTTGGATTATGTTTTTTTCTCCTTTCAAAGTTTTCATTACTCACATATATTGGTTTATGTAGTTGTTCTTCTGAGTGAGCACATATTTTTTTCCTTGATGAAATTCAAATTTTCATTTTCAGACATGTGTCTCCTATATTAATCACAATGGTAAATCAATACGAATGTCTTTTATGTGATTCTGTTAGTGATTGACTGATTGATATATGGGGTAGAATGTTATATATATATATATATATTCTTTTCTTTTTTTTTCCTTTTACATAACAAGTAGATCATATCATCTTATTAATTGAGATATAATGTGAACTTCTTGTGGGAAGCTTGACTATCATTGAGTCAATAATATGTAAAAATTTATAATGAAGCTAAATTTTTACTCAATGTATATATTATATACCTAGTACAATTTTTAATCACGACCACAGTGTTGCATCCTTAATATAAATGGAATGTTTTTGCATTATTGTTATATATGTAAAGTGAATCCTCAAGCGTAAATAAGAGGATCCAATTCCAGTGTGAAAAATTATCTCCCCTTGTCAATGGTGTCTTTCTTTTGTACAAATATTAGAGTAGGATCATGTAATAATATTTTTGCTTTTCTGATCAGTGTTGGTTTTTGTATGCAACAGGACTACATTTTCACATGAGAGGATTTTAGTCAAAGGGAAGAGACACATTGAGGAGTGTTTGGCTTTACATTTTGAATAGGTTCAGATAAGAGAAAAATAATTATGCTGGAAATTGGTGAATAGAAAATGAAGACTAGAAAACTATTTTAACCCATTGCTTACCTTACCCCCCAAAAAAAAAAAAAAAATTTAAAATTGTAATGCCCTGCCTCCACTAGAAGCTTCCATGCTCAAATTGAGAGCATCAGAGAAGGGAATGTCACAAGCTAATAATGCAAGCAAAAAGTGGTATCATACATATAAGAAAGTGAAGCCCCAAAGAGAATGATACCTCTTTGCGCAAACCATTTTCTACTAAGCCCCAAACACAACTATAAGTCGTAGCCATTTTGATGCAGCAATCAAAGCTTATCAACAAAGGCCGAAAATAACTGAAAGCCCAGACTTTACAACATTGGTTAATAAAATTAGCCCATAAAACTAGAATGCTAAACTAAAATACTCAAAAAGGGAGGCCAACGAACTACTTGATTCCCACATAAATCAAAATCCCAGTAAAATAAAATCAACAAATCATATAGAAGAAATATCCTCATACATAATCTTGATACCGAGCACATACATGGTAGTGATATACTGATATCCCAAGGATTGACTTCATTCCCTTCTCTGATGCTGGAATCCCCTTCTCTGGGATCAATGCAGCATCAAAACAATCTGATCCACGACCTTCAGTTACCATCAACCGCATCCAATCCGTTAAATCTATCACTCTATCTTCACCAGAAACCACATCACCAGAGCACACTTTGGTGCATGGTAACCTAACACCTCGGTATCAAGGATCTGCTCAATGGTGCCAGGCTGAGTCATTAGGCGATGAAGGCAGTAATCAGCAACATGGGCATTAAGATCAGGGCCATCTAAGAGTATATTGCTTTGAGGTTGCCATGTGGAATGACAGTCAAAATGGAGATAATTCAGGCCAAGTGAAACATCAACTGCGATCGATCTGCAGATATTGGTTTATCAGATATGCAAATAAAATCTACCCAGAAACATCTATACTGTAAACTGTGGAAATAATCATCATATGAGCACAAGTATGGAGGAATATGGACTTTAATGTCTTCCTATAGTCTTACAAAAGCATGATGCGCAGAGCAAGAAACATGCAAGGAAGATAAAAGTATTTGAATTGCAATGGACACAAAAAACGCAATAATAAAAAATCATGAAAAATGTTGTTATGTTGATGCATTTTTTTCCAAAAATTGGTTGTTGAAATTAAAAAAGGAGACGGAGGGGGGTGTGGTGGAGATAAAATAGAATTCTTGTGGAAGCTTGTATAGCACCCCTTATGATTACAGAACAGTTGCCTACAAAGCATATCATCTTAGATATCATAAAAAAGCATGAAAAATGATGTTATGTTAATGCATTTTTTTTCAAAATTTGGTTGTTGAAATTAAAAAAGGAGACGGAGGGGGGTGTGGCGGAGATAAAATGGAATTCTTGTGGAAGCTTGTATAGCACCCCTTATGATTGCCTAGCAGAACAGTTGCCTATAAAGCATATCATCTTAGATATCCCACTACTGAATAATAAAATTTCAGAAAGGGCCTAAAAGAGGCATTACAAGATAAAGTCTACAAATTCGTAGCATATATTCAGTCAATTTGTTTGAGCATAATGCATAATTGTAACCACTCAATTATGTAAAAGGCATTATATGATCGGTTACATTCCTGTCATTTTATATCACCCAAATAATGACCTTGCAGGCCATGATAATAAACAGCTAGAAGAAATTGTTTCATTGATTGAATGATCGGATTGCAACACAATATTAAAACCCTACTTCCCGTAGTGTTGAGTGTTCATACTATTATGATTTTCCGAAGTGTCCTAATAGAAAGAAATAGAAAACTCCCTCCACAGAACAGATCATGAAGCTAGAACAGCAAAAGTTATCAATATGGTGAGTGTAGTTTACAAAACACTAATCTAAGGTCCTAATCATTTAGTCAAGTTCAAATTACCATTTCATCAATCTGGCAACCCACAAAACTAATGGTGAATTAAAAAATATGGTTTGTGCCTTCGGGGCAGATAATAGAAAGATAGATGGTACTAAAAAATCAAGTATATTATTATACATATCACTGTAATGGTTTAAGAATGAAATTTGTCCAACTCCTTAGTTATTTGCTCTATATTAAAGATCATCAGCTGTATAATAGTATAACCCATTTAACTTCGTTAATTAGTGGAGAAAAACATAGGATTTATGTACCCTACCCCAAGTAATTGGGAAAAGACTTGGTTATTGTTGTTGTTGAATTAGTGAAGGAAAAAGGCTTCAATCTCTTTACCTTGACAGTGTGAGGTTTGTCCATTAAGAAGGAAGCCCCAAGCTATAAGCTCTAGATTTTTTTTTCTTTTTATTTTAAAACTTTGGTAGATAAAACAATCAATTATAAGAGCCAAGGGTGCATATGCCACTCATGTACTCATACAGTATACACACTCCACAGAGCAAAAAAGGACAGAGGAAAAGATCAAACAGTACAGCAAGCATACCGTAACATCCTCCAAAAAATCAACAAAAGAACCATAATAAAATCTCTTTGAAAAACAGAAAAAAAATACAGGGCAGTCAATAACATGCATGTATCTTTATTAGTTAGTGTAAAAATGGAGCACCATGCCCATAAAACACTTAATTAGGAAATGCTCATCATTTCTTCTGGACATCTTGCATGGCTTTGAATCAATATGCATCTTTACTTTGTTGGGACCCACATTCATCTACTTGACCAGCCCACATAACCAAGCTTGAAGGATCTAAACATAAATTTCAGTTGTGGTACTAATGCATGGTCCACAGTCCACACAAATTTGTCTGGTGTGGCTGCTGGCAATGGACAACCACACCAAATATATGCACTTCTTTCAATGGTTGTGGTATGCATTTGAGAGCACCCCTTGTAGTAATCCCACTTCCGATAATTAAACCATTGAAAGAAGTGCATAAACAATATCAAGCACCACATTTGTTAGATCAATGTAATAATGTAATATTCCCAACATAAATTTTCAGTTGAAGAAGCAAAATAGTAGAGTTGAACGAATGAGAAGAAAAAGTTATTACCATAGAGAAAGCTTGCAAGACTTCCAGGTGAGATGTAGTAATCTGAAA